GATTAAACCGTTGCATGATAACATTAGGGCCTTTCCCCCATTCCTAACCCTAGGTCCTTATTATTAGGTTAGATTTTCCATTTCATTTAAGACTAAAAATATTTTATTAGAAAAATACCACACAAAAAAATACTTAACTAAATACGATATGTATCACGCGCCACGAGCCTTAAATACATAGGAAAAGATGAGCGGGAGTTTTTCTTACCTCTTCTTAGGGCATTTCGAACGTGAGACGTCTCGATCATTTTTATGAAATACTCGTTCCTATTGTCATAGACTTTACTGTGATGCGTATCTCTAAATTTTTTCTCAAACAAATTCAATACACCTCATTACACCAAAACCTTTTATTAAAAGTAAATGAATGAGTTTTTAGTCTTCAAAGTTTCTCCCCAACCGATTGGATGCGAGATTTCTTTCTCGTGTTCAAGCAATTGTTCACTTAAAACACATAACTATACTTTAATAATCTTTCAACGATTTCTTTCTCGTGTTCAAGCAATTGTTCACTTAAAACACATAACTATACTTTAATAATCTTTCAACAAAAGACGTAAGAAGGGAGTGGAATCTTTCACTCTCTCTTTCAATTAATTGGGTGCGAGATATCTTTCTCGTGTTCGAGTAATTGATGTCTATAAAAAAATACAAACCCATAAATCGTAGTACGAACTACGATTGCTCTAACTTTACCATTGCACAAGGGAATATGTAGGCACAAGGGCCCCAATCTTTGGCGAGCACCCTAATAATAAAATCAACCATTTTTCCTTACACCTTAGTTAAAACCTTTAGCAAAATTTTTCTTTTTTATTATTCAAAGAAAACAAGTGAGCATAGTTGACACTTAAAATCACTAATTAGACTAATAGGTTCCCGTTGAGTACAACGGATGTGAAGGGTGTTAATACCTTCCCCTCACGTAACTGACTCCCAAACCTGGATATGGTTGCGATGACCATTTTCCATTTTAAAAAAATGCTTTATCAATATTTTCCTATTCCTTCATTGGAATAAATTAAAAATCGGTGGTGAATCTGTTCAAACAACTTTTTCCACGTCCTTCGCGAGGATCGTATTTTTTGATGTACGACGCCAAGTTGTGAGAGACATGTAATTCTCTATTGGAATTGTACTGATTGAAATTGTTCTCTTGAGCTTGAGTGGAGAATCTTCGGAGAAGTAAGATGGTAATGATTGGGTGGATCGACTTCTTTTTTTATGCCAACGGTGGTGATGATAAATGATTGAGAGAGCTAAAATGTTTCTAATGTAATGAACAAGAGAGAGTAGAATGATATGAGAAGAGTGAGAAGGTTACCTCTATATATAGCTTATGTCTAATTGATTGAAGGGATGTGCTAATAGATTGGAAACTTAAAACTTTGTGAGTTAGCCATTACAAATAGTTGTTGTTTTAATTTCTCACCCAACCAGCCGTTGTGGTGTGCTCCAACGTTCTAAACTCTGAATTTTGAGATGATGCAATCAATTGGATTATATTGTCAATCTATTAGCTGGACCATTTTTAGCATGTTTCGTATTGGGCTTTTATGTTGCACCTCTGGTTAGATTTATGTACACCCATTTTTTAGAAGACACTTAGAAACTCATATTTTTATTTAGTAAACATAATTTATCAAGACGAGCAAAATTAAAGGCATTATTTTAAAGGATTAATCAAAGTTTTCTAATCATTTCTATCTTAAAATAGTGTAATGCCTTAAATATCAAAAGACTTTGATCAAAATTCCCCTTAAAGGGAGCACCAATCATATTACGGTTTTTCCTTCTCTACATATCATTGGACTTTTCTTGACAATTTTAAACATTCTCATCTATGTATTTAAGCATTGGATTAGGATTCTGATTCCAATTCTTAATTCTTAGATATTTGCTTGTGACGAAGGTTATAACATTATTTCCAAACAAAATTAAAGCTTGAAAAACATCAATGAATGAAGTATTTAAATTCATCTTCTTTGCCTCGTGTGTTCATTCTCTCTTGTTCGATACTTGGAGAAAATACGTAGATCATTTTAAGAGTGTCCCACATTTCCTTGGCCGGATTAGAGTTACACACATAAAAAATGTAATTTCATTTAAATACATAGCTAAAAGGTATTTATTTTTAAAGTAATTTTCAAATTTTCTCCTTTCCTCCATAGAAAAAAAATCTACTTTATCCACTACTTCATCATTTATGCATTGATTAGGTAAAGAAAAATGGTGAGTCAATTTGAATCCTATTATGAGTCATTATCCTCTGCCTTAAACTCTGAACTCCCTTCTTCCTTTCCAATCCACTCATCGGAGCTAACATCCAATTCTGATGAGTCCATGATGGTTTCTGATTCTAATGGAAAAGAAATCCTTAAAGGACCGTGTGCATCCTCCACTACTTTAAGTAATCTTCTATATTAAATATGTTTTGAATGTTTTAAGTCATTCATGGATTTTCCACAACCCTCACACATGCTTTGTTGAACATGTGTAACTCCTCTTTTATCGTCTGTGTGAAACACCAAATGTGAAAAAGGAAACTTTCCTGTCAGGTGGTGAAATGACCTAGTATCCATGCTGCGAAACAACCTTGGTTGATTGTGTTAAGTATAAAAATTGTGAGTAGTATGGATAATAGTCCCACATTGGATAGAAATATGGTGACTTGAACATTTATAAGTAGGAGAATTCACACACCTATCACCTTAAGGTTTTGGGTGAGTATGTGGTGTATCTCTCACAAAGGTGTTGCTCTTAAAAGGAAAAGTTTCACAATGTTCAATGTTCCCTAGTGAAAATCTCCCCTGACAGTGGTATCATGAGCCTTTGGTTCGAGTGAGGGACCGACTTACTTGTATCAAAAGTATCCCCAGAGGTCGTGGATTGAATGTCTCGTTGAAGAGTGTCAACGACGATCTGCTTAAGAGGGAGCATTGTAGAAGCATTATGGATAGACTCACACTTGAGTGGGAAACTATTAAGTATCAACAAGTGTGAGTAGTGTGGATAATAGTCCCACATTGGATAGGAATGTGGCGACTTGAGCATTTATAAGTGAGAGAGCTCATGCACCTACCACCTTAAGGTTTTGGGTGAGTATGTGGTGTGTCTCTCACAAAGGTGTTGCTCTAGAAAGGAAAAAAGTCTCACAATGTTCAATGCTCCCTAGTTGAAAAATCTCCCCTAATATATTGTTGTTGCTCTTAAGCACGTGGGCATACGATCTCGAATCTCTAGTTCCTCCAACATTGACTTCACCTGATTGCTTGGGTGGCCTTTGTTTGTCATTAAAAGCTTTGCTCTGATTGATTTTACCAGTATTTGCTTCCCTGGTCAAGCCTTTACATTTGAAGGCTCCATCCCTTTATTCCTTTGAAACCTTGGGAAGTTCACAAATAACCTTAGTTAAAGAAGATTTGATAAGATTTTATTTTAAGGGAGTTTTGGTTCATATTTATTTAATCTAAGATTTATTCTACAAAGAAATTTTATATAAAGAGAATTATTTTGGATGTTCTGATGCAAAATGTGGAAGACAATATTCCAGCATGTGAAAAAAAAGATTGTGTTAACTGCATTAAGTTTTCTATTTCGCTTCGTGACATTGTTATCCCAATTGTTAGTCTTACTATAATTTCCCTTTTTCTTTATGACATACCCTCCATTTATTCTACTTGATGTTAATTCTTCTGAGTATCTCATCATCCTCCAATTGAATTTTTTCTCTTATTCTCTTTTTAATACATTCATAAACCTTCATTTTGATTTATATTTTAATAAACATTTTTTAGCCCGTCCGATGTTTATATTGTTAGTTTTAACATTGAGAGTAAGGATTAGACTTTTAATCTATCTCTAATCATTATCTCCTTCTCCACATCTACTAATCTATCCTTATCATATCCTTATATTTAATAATTATTATTTTAATTTAAATAAAAAATAACAGATTATTAATTGTTGCATCATCTTTTTTTTAATTTAAAATAATTAATATACAAATGAAAATTTAGTAATTACATAAATATTTTAAAATAAAAATGTCTAAGTTGATAGAAAAAATATCTATTTAACCTTTAAATTAAGTTAAATTACAATTTTTTCCTTAAGTAGTTTAATTTGAATTTCAATTTTAGTCAACTTTCTCAAATAGAAAGTCAAAGTGAAATCTTAGTAATAAAACAAAACAATTTGAGGAGATAAGACCTTATTAATATTTATAGTGATTATGCAAGTAAAATATTTATATTCAACGTTGTTGTACACATATTAAATAAAAACGTCTTAAGGGCAAGTATCAGAGTAAAAAGAAAAAACTAGTCATAAATTCATCAACAAATATGATTTTATTGCAGTTACATGTCATATATTCATTTGTGTAAAACTATTGTATGCCAAAATATCAAATTTGTGTAGTTGTTCACTGTTTCATTTACTTTTATAATAATAATAAAAGTAATAATAATAATAATACTAATAATAATAATAATAATAATAATAATAATAATAATAATAATAAGTTTTTTTTAATAAATGTCAAAAAATTAAATTAATTTTGACAATAGTTTTTCATTAATATAATATTCATTAACTATATATTTATAATATAATTCAAAAGATAATATGTTAGGTTGAATATTTTTTATTGTGTTTTAAATTTAAATCTAAAATATTCAGGTCTAATGCATAAATTTATAATGGTATTTCTTATTGAGTCTATGAATTTAATATAATATATATCAATTTTTTTAAAAAAAACTCATGTCGTGTTATTCCTTAAACCTGGCCTTAATTAATAGTGTATTTTCTTTAAATATTCTCTTTCTTGTTGACCGTAAAATAAGTTTATCCTTATATGTTTTTTTTCCTTGCATAACCATTCAAAGGTAGTTTATCCATGATAAATACTTCTCACTAGCAATTATCAAACCACACAAGTTTGTTTTCTCTCTAAAAGAATGTTCTAAATCTTTTATTTTGTACTTTTGAAAAAAATGTGTGGAAGAATTTTCATCAGAAATACTGAAGACAAAAACTTAAAACCCAAAATGATTGAAAAATCAAAGTCAAAATCAAGTGAGAAATTAAAAAATATAGCACCATCCTCTGAAGCTGATTCCGAGAAGGGAAAAAGGGTAGAAGAGACAGAAGCAAAGTTGCATGATGAACTCAAGGTAATAACACCATCTGTTGAATCTAAAGATTTATTGACTCTGAGACTTGGTAATAACAACAAGCCAACTTCCATTTTGTTACAGAACAATGAAAATTCAAGTTCGTCTGAAAATGTTATTTCTAAAGTTTTACTTGAGCAAGAAGTGAAAGAATTTCATTGTCTTTTTTGTAACAAAAAGTTTTCAAATTCTCAAGCGCTTGGAGGTCACCAAAACGCTCATAAGCGTAAACGTGTCTCCAAAAAAATTGAACAAAAAATGAGTGAGGAAGAAATGGATACAATCTTAAGGTATAAACCTAGTTTTCCATACCCTTATCCTTATTCAAGCCCTACTCACTATCAAGGGCATCCTTATTTTTGTGGAAATTTGCAGCAACCAGTTGACACTCTTACGAACAATACCATGTCTTCTTGGCTTGGTTCTCCATATGGAGGCTATGGAGGGACGTATATGCCAAATACACCCTTCCCACAAACTCCATTTGTTATGTCAATGCCAAGGTCACCCCTCATATCACAAAAATTTGGGATGCCTAATTTTTTGGCCAGAAATCAAACTCATCCACTACCAATTCCTCAAAGATCAAACACTATGGAATTGAGACTTTTTGTTCAAGATAATCAAACCCCTTCATCTGATGAAGGTGCAGAAGGAAGTTCCAATGCTCAATTTCATTCTCGTGATCTTCTAATAGAAACTCGTGATTTTGGTGGAGAAAGCAACCTTCTAGTAGAGTCTGATGTGTCTTCATCATCAAAACAATCAACATTGGAGGAACTCGATTTAAATCTAAAACTTTAAGATTTTGTGTCTACCTTATAAAAATGCATTAGGCGCATATTGCGACATCATATTTTTATGGTCACTTTATCGTTTAATTTATGTTTTGTTGCTTTGGTTTATTTTCTTCTGTATCTTTATGTACTTTTGTTTCATGAATGAATAAAATCTATATCTTTTTTATTAATATTAATAGACTTAGTTATTAAGTAAATCTACACGTTCTTCAGTTTTCCAAACATTTTCATGGGAATTTCGTAAATTAAGAATCAAAATTTTCCAATAAATTTTGAACTATTTTCAAATGAAACATAGTTTTATAACTAAATTGTAATGATCATAGCAAGATGAAGAATCAAATTATGAGTTATCTTAGTTGAGTTGTGTTAATTTGTTCAAAAAATTTTAATCAAATACTTGTTTTATGAAATTCATTGTTTGATTTAAAGTTATATAATATTTTTTAAATAAGGATGATATATTGAGAAAAGAAAGATAGTTCACCAAATGTGGGAGGACTATGCCAAAATCAACTAAAAAATTAGTGAAACTACAAAAAGTCATCCCAAACTTTTTTTTTTTACAAAATCTTGTCTAATACCCAAAGGAATGTCTTCAAAGTAAGTTAAGAAAGTAGTTGTGAGGGATACATTAGCGAGAAAAAAAAATCTGAATAATTATTTTTCTCTTTATAAATATGAGATAAAACAAAAGTCATATTTGAAAAACAAAAGTTAATTATAATTTCAAAAAACAAATTAAAGTCATATTTTATGAAGAAAAAAAAATTTTATGGAAAAAAAATTAAAATTTTGAAACTTTTTTTTAAGTTTTCGAAAAAAAAAGATTCATAAGTGATGTAATCCAAAAAAAGATTCATAAGTGGTTGTTAATGGCGTTGAAGTCACTAAATTCTCAGTAGTCGAGATCAATTTATATCTAATTTCTCTACACATCTTTTCTCTAAATATCTTTTCTAAACGAACGAGAGTCAATCCAAATTGATCTTGTAAGAGATCTGCTACGGAACTAATACGTTTATTTTTCAAATGATTCATATCGTCAAGTGTACCCATTCCAAATTTCATTCCAATCAAATGATCTGCAGTTGTCAATATATCTCGCGGTAATAAAAATTTATTGTTCTCCGGTATATCCATATTCAGTCGACCAATTCCTCCTAATTCACATTTTTGTTAAAAAAAAAGTTGTAATTCCGTATATAAAGATTCAAGAAATATGGGATCTCCGCCTACACAAGCAAATTATCGATAAAACTCCAAAATGGCATTTTCTTTTGACCCTATTTTTTGTTCCTCCTTTTCATTGAGGAAAGACAAGAAAATTTCGAGGTAACAAACGTTCTCAAGAATTTCGCTTAAATTCGAATTCATAGCTGATGATAGAGCAAGAATAGATATTTTCTGTTTCCTACTTACACGAGCCCATATCCTTGCTTTTCTATCAATTTTTAACTCTAATATTCCTCCCCAATCTGACATTATCGTGGCAGTATAGACTGAAATTCTGTTATGGTCCAATTCTTACCGATAATAGATACTAGGGCTTTACAATATATGACTAATTACAATTCTGTATATTCCATTTATTATAAAAATTCCCAGGAAATTCATTAGAGGAATGTTTCCAATAAAAATAATTTGTTCTTGGATATCCAGACTATTTTTTCAAATTAATTTCGAGAATATATATAATTTAGAAGAATATGTAAGTAATTCATATACAACATATTTTTTGGATTAAATTTTTTGAAAAAAAAATTAATTTTTTCGAATGAAAATTAAATTTAATAAAAAAAATAGTTTTATTGAAAAAAAATTCATTTTTTAAAAAACTAATTGAATCCTTTGGAAATAATTTTTTTTTCATGTGTGTGTGTGTGAGTGTGTGTGTGTGTGTATATATATATATATATATATATATATATATATATATATATATATATATATATATATATATATATATATATATATATATATATATATATATATATATATATATATATATATATATATATATATATATATATATATATATATATATATATATATATATATATATATATATATATATATATATATATATATATATATATATATATATATATATATATATATATATATATATATATATATATATATATATATATAGTTATGAATCTTTTTGTAAGTTACGACAAAATTTAATATCAATTTGTGAAGCAAAGAACAATAGCAAGCAAAATAAATGGTCTTCAATAATAATAATCCGTACGCAGATAATATAATAGAATAAGACAAGAAAAAACCGAAAGTTTGTTTACCTAGTTCGGTCAAACAATCTACTCTAGGGGAGAGAGCAGCTCTCCAATTCACTATACTCAAAAAGTTGTTACAAGAGATTACGGATGAGTTACAAGAAAATAGTCTTCGCCTTCAAGGTTTTCTCTGTGCATAGCTGAAAACCTATGCTATACCTTTAAACCATTGGTCTCCCTTGTTAATGAAAACTCTAAGATTATCACACACCAAGCATATAAGAGATACATATTTATAATAGCAAATACCCAACAAACAAAGCCCAAAGTCACATGGATCCATGGACCGAATAGAAAAAGCCCGATAACGCGAAAACACTATTCACCATACGGACAATACTATTCATCGTACGATCATCATTATTCATCCGTACAGATGGTACTATTCACCTTACGAGTGACACTATTCACTGATCAATTTTTTTCCCTCGACTTTTCGTCCGACTTTCTAAAACTTCTAATTTTTGCGGTAAATGCAATCTCCAAAATATGTTTTCTTTCTCTTCATCAACAAAGGTTTTAAGGAACATTTACTACAATCTCTATCTTGACTTTAAATCATGTTGATACCAATTTAACAATTAACAATGTTGCTTCTCTCTACCAAGTTGAAACTTTAATCAATAACTCTGATCAAATTCAAGCAATCCTTGAATCTTGATCTCGCAACTTGCATCCACTTATTTCCAACTACCCTTTTCTGCCTAGGTAATTTAACAAGCCTACAAGTATTATTTTTCAACCACCCTTGACTCCACCTGTTTTCAAATGCCTTCCTGAAGGTTTTCTTCTTTTATTTTGCAGTCTTTCAGTCACATTAAAAACATAATATCTAAGGCTAACAAAATCGTCCCTTTGAGATGCTACAATAAACCTCTTTACCTCATCATGAGTCAAATGATAGTTAGAGATCTCTGTAACCGTTTCCTCACTACTTCTAGCATCCATAGTAGGAAACTCCACCTCAAACTGAGTTTTCTTCGTTATAGTTTCTCCCAGGTTTCTCCCTTGGTTTTCACTATTCTTCTTCTGAAGAAATTTTCTACCAACCAAGTAAGTTGTTTTAACCTCAACTCTTCCCCAAAAACTCAATAACAACTCAGTGGTAACATGTATTTTCATCCCTGGATTTCTGCAAAATTCATTGTAATGCTCTGAAACTTTCTCAAGGCATTCATAGCGTCTTAAACTCAAATCCCATAGCTATTCCTTGTCATGAAAGCCTCCACTAGTTAACGATGAATGAATAATAACATTTGAACCTTCTAAAATATATAGACCACATATTTTAGACCATTTAGAAATAATCAATTCATCACGCAAAATCTTCAACACTCCACGTTCAACTCTAGTATAATAACCTAGATCATCAAACATACTTATAGATAAAAAAATTTGCTTGAGTTCTGGAACATACCTCACATTGTGAATAAGAAGTTCACGATCACTAAACATTTTAAATCTGACTGTACCAATACCATGAACCTTACATGCCTTATTATTACCAAGGCGAACTACTCCACCTTGCACCATCTTCAAAGTTTCAAAGTACTCTATTCTTGGACACATGTGATAAGAGCAACCTGAGTCAATGACCTAACTATCTTTAGTTTCCAAACTCAATACTACTAGTGCTTTGGCATCCTCATAACTTTCCTAACCCAATGCAACTACAGCTTGAACAGAATCTTCAATGACCTTTCTTTTAGGACAATTCCTTTTAAAGTGACCGATTTTCTAATAATTAAAACATTTCACCTTTGACTTGTCAGACCTCTTTGATTTGGACATCCCTTTACGCTCACCTCCTCCTCTTGACACATTTAAGCCTTCACCACTATCTTCAATCTTTAAATCTTTCGACTTTCAAAATTCTTTGGATTTCACCGTCGTTTGGACTTCATCCAAAGTAATAGTACCTTTCTTACCATAAAGAATGACGTCCTTAAAATGCTCAAAGGATCTGGGTAATAAACTCAACAAGAGCAAAGCCTTGTCCTCATCATCAATCTTCACTTCAATATTCTCAAGATCATCGATAGTCTTGTGAATTTCTATGAGCTGCTCAACTATGGATTTGTTCTCCATCATTCAGAATGAATAGAGTTGTTGTTTCAAATACAACCTGTGAGCCAAATACTTTATCATATACAATAATTCAAGTCTTTCCTACTTAGCAACCACAGTTTGCTCCCTGGCGACTTCTCTTAGAACTTTATCCCCGAGGCACAAGATAATGGCACTCCTGGCCTTATCCACCATCTCGGTCTTCTGTACCTGTGTAAGCCCTGCATGCATCAATGCTTCACTCTTCAAAGCATCGATACACTTCTCTTGAATAAAAATTGCTTGCATCTTAATTTTCCATAACCCAAAGTCGCTGTTACCGGAAAATATCTTGATCTTCCATCTACTAACCATGGTGCTCACTTGTCAACAATATCTCTTTGCTCGATGCTCACCACACCACTTGTTGTGAATCTTATTGTAAATTACGACAAAATTCAATATCAATTTGTGAGGCAAAGAACAATATCCACCAAAATAAATGGTCTTCAGAAAATAATCCATACACAGAAAATATAACAGAATAAGACAAGAAAAAACCCAAGGTTTGTTTACCCAGTTCGATCAAACAATCTACTCTAAGGGAGAAAGCAGTTCTCTTATTCACTATACTCAAAAAGTTGTTACAAGAGATTAC